CCCCATTAAAAAGTGGGCAAAAGACATGAACAGAAACTTTTCAAAAGAAGACAAACTAATGACAAACAAACATATGAAAAAATGCTCAACATTTCTAATCATCAGGGAAATGCAAATCAACACAACAATGAGATATCACTTAACTCCAGTGAAAATGGCTTTTGTCAAAAAGTCCCCAAACAATAAATGTTGGAAGGGACACAGAGAGATAGGAAACTCATATACTGCTGGTGGGACTGCAAACTAGTACAACCTCTGTGGAAAGTAATATGGAGATACCTCAAAGAGCTATAAGTAGAACTATCGTTTGATCCAGCAATCCCATTACTGGGCATCTATCCAAAGGAAAAAAAAAAAAGATATTCTATAATAAGACATCTGCACTAGAATGTTTATAGCAGCACAATTCACAATTGCAAAGATGTGGAAATAACCCAAGTGACTATCAATACATGAGTGGATTAATAAAATGTAGTATATTTATACCATGGAATTCCACTCAGCCACAAAATAATAATGGTGATCTAGCACCTCTTGTATTATCCTGGATAGAGCTGGAGCCCATTCTACTAAGTATCACAAGAATGGAAAAACAAGCACCACGTGTACTCACTATCAAATTGGTATTAACTGATTAATACTTATGTGCCCATATAGTAGTAACATTCATCAGGTGTTAGGAAGTTGGGAGGGGAGGAGGAGATAGGTATATACACACCTAATGGGTGTGATGTGCACTGTCTGGAGAATAGACATGCTTGAATCTCTGACTGGGGTGGGCCAAAGGCAATATATGTAACCTAAACATTTGTACCCCTGCAAGATGCTGAAATAAAAAGAAAACACCCCTAATCACTAGTGTAAGGTTTTAGGAGGTGGGGCCCTTGGGGTGATTAGATCATGATAACCAAGCCCTTAGAATGAGATCAAGGGCCTTTATAAAAGAGGTCCCAAGGAGCTGCCTCACCTTTTCTACCACGCAAGGTTACAGTGAGTCGGTACCATCTATGAACTGGGAAGCAGGCCCTCACCAGTCACCAAATCTACCAGCATCTTGATCTTAGACTTCTCAGCCTTCTGAAAGGTGAGAAATAAATTTCTGTTGTTTATAAGCCAAAAAAACCCCCCACAAAAAACAGATAAATATTTATTGTAATTTAAGAGAGTAATTGAATCTAGTCATGAAAACCAAGGCTCATATTTTGCATGTCTTTGTTTTGTGTGTCAGTTTTTCCCTGAATCATTTTTATTGTATTGTACACAAGTACAGCACAACCTGAATGAGGGTGGGACTCCTTCACCATAGATAGTTTGAGAGACTCTGGTCTGATGTCCATGCTCCACTGCATAGGCTGGTGTGGTGATTAATTTTAGGTGTTAACGTGACTGGATCATGGGGTGCACCCAGATATTTGGATCAACGTTATTTCCGGGTGTGCCTGTAAAAGTGTTTCCCAATGGGATTAGGATTTGAATCAGTGGAGGACTCAGTAAAGCAGATGACCCTCCCCAATGTGGGTGGGCATCAGTCAATCTCTTGAGGACCTGGTAGAACAAAAGTTGAGGGAAGGAAGGAAGAATTCACCCCCCCCTTTTTTTTTTACCTTCCTGCTTCAGCTGGGACACCAATGTTCTCCTGTCCTCAGACTGAGACTGACACCAGGGACTGTCCTGGTTCTCAGGCCTTCAGATTTGGACCGAATTATACTACCAGCTTTCCTGGGTGTCCTGCTTGCAGATAGCAGGTCAGGGGACTCCTTATCCTCTGTAAGTATAGGAGCCAATTCTTCCTAATAAATCTCTTTTATTTATACATATACACATGTACACAAACACATATGTATATATTTTACATACATATCTTATTGGTTCTGTTTCTCCGGAGAGTGCTACTATAGTAGTGGGTGAGTCAGCATCCTGGAAACACATGGGGAGAATGTTGGAGAGAATTTTCCCTTTTGCCATGAGAAGGGATGAAAACAAATGTCCACCATCATCACGGGGCCTGAGTTAGAGAGGGAAGGACTCTCCCAGACTGACTTTGGCTCTCCTTTTCTCTCATGCCTTCATCCACATTGACCTGCCCTTATTTGGAGTCTCCAGTAGAAATCTACTTTGCAAAAGCTTTGGATATGGTCATTATAATAAGCTAAACATGGCCGGGGGTGGTGGCTCATGCCTGTAATCCTAGCACTCTGGGAGGCCGAGGCGGGAGGATAGCTGGAGGTCAGAAGTTCGAAACCAGCCTGAGCAAGAGCGAGACCCCCGTCTCTACTATAAATAGAAAGAAATTAATAGGCCAGCTAATATATATAGAAAAAATTAGCCAGGCATGGTGGCGCATGCCTGTAGTCCCAGCTACTCGGGAGGCTGAGGCAGGAAGATCACTTGAGCCTAGGAGTTTGACGTTGCTGTGAGCTAGGCTGACGCCACAGCACTCACTCTAGCCTGCACAACAAAGTGAGACTCTGTCTCAAAAAATAAATAAATAAATAAATAAACAAACAAACAAATAAGCTAAACATTACATGGGAATTTGACACTCTACCCATTGGAGCTTCTATTACCAGAATCAAAGCATTCAAATGACTCTAAGCCATTAAGAGCAAAACAACTCTTAGCCAGACTAACACCAGGTAATTACTAAATTGAGCTGAATTCCTTTGCTATGCTCTTGTCACTGAGGTATGGAAACTCCAGGGTCCTATAGGAGGTCTGAAGGAAAAATATAATGCTCAAGACAACTTTCGCGGATCGAAGCTTCTCATTAAAAATACATTTTAGAAAATTGTTTTAGGTTAACTTGCTAGGGCAGGTGTATGAGGAGGAAATGTGTGTAGTCATTTGGCAACTTGAGGCTTTCATTTATTTCTCTTTTTAAAAGAAAATGGAAACAATAAGAACACAATTACAAATAAAATTACAAAAGAGACTCTACAGGAGTATTTGGATTCTTTCCCTACTTAAAGCTGTGCAATTAAAGTTCTGCAGGACAGCAACCTTTAATCTGGCTGTTCCTGAAGAGCTCATGCAGGCAACAGGAGGTCAGGCGTCTGCTACAGTCTCAGAAGTGACCTGGGAGAAACTTTTATCCTGACTGAGAAATCTAGTGTGGCTTTCTGATCTTACAAATTGGAAACTGAGACCAAAGCAGGTTTATTTCTTTTCTTCTTAGTTGTTTGGGGTGTGTGTGTGTTTGTGTATTTTCTCTCGGGGAGCTTGGGAAATGGCTGTCTGCCGAGTTTTAACATAATTTAGATACACAATATGGGAGCTCTTCCTTTGCAAGACCCTAAATCACCTTCCAGTACTAATGCAAGGGCTCAACAAGCACCAGATTTTATTTTATGCTGCCTTGGAATACTTAATTTTTGCCTAGGTGAACTTCACAAACAATCGAGATACATTTTTGTGAAAATCTAGCTGAAATATAATATATGCCTTCATGCCTTTTACAATAAAATAAGCTGCATGTAACTTCAACATTCCTTGATGGCCCAGTTTTCCTAATAAACAATTATGGTGTTCCAAAGGAGTAGGTGTAGACGATCTGGGATATAGGCTCCGGCAGTGGCCCTAAACCTGTCATCATTTAAAAAACACAACTTTCACTTTTATTTTGGTTGATTATCTCTTCTTTATATAAATATAGTAACCGTTTAACAAATGCATGCACACAGTGTCAATTTGACCTATGGTGGAACTGCCTTTAGCAGGTTGCAGGACTCCTCTTACAAGTTCAAGTCATTAAGATAACTTTTTATTCCCTAAGGGGGCGAGGAAACCATAGAGAACAGATGGAACAGAACTAGTATTTGGTGGGTTATTCGTATGTGCCAAAAACTTTCACTCTTTTCATTTTCTAACTGTTCTGTGAAGGAAGAAATATTTTTCTCTATTTGTGGAGAAGAAGACTGAGGCTCAGAGAGATTAAGTAACTCACCCAAGGCCACAGAGCTAAAAAAATGACAAAGGGAGGATTTGAACCAAGCCTGCTGTGGTCACACGCCTTCATCTTCACTCTACACCAAACTGTCCCAGAGTGTGGAGTCATTGGATCTTGACCCCTGACTTACTTCCTTCATTACCATATTGACAGTTGTCTTTTGCTGTATGACAAAACCATCCCGAAACTTAGTGGCTTGAAACAATGCCCATTTTATTTGCTCACAATTTTACAGTCCGGGCTGGGCTTAGCTGGGTGATTCTTCCATTGATCTTGCCAATCGTCACTCCTGTGGATTCATCCAGCTGGGTAGGCTAGAATAATCCTGGGCTTGGTTGGGATGATGGGATGGCTGGGCTTTTCCCTCTACCTCTTTAGTCTCAGGGCCTTTCCCTCTTAGGTCACTTCTTCTACGGCCTCTCCACGTAGCTTCTCCAGCAAGGTAACAAAATTCTTTTGTGAAAGCTCTGGGATCCCCACAGCAAAAAGGCAGAACTTCTTAAGGTTTAGCCTTAAAAATTGACACAGCATCACTTCTGCCACTTCCTGTTGGTTAGAAAAACTCACAGTCCCAACTCAGGTTCAAAGGGAGAGGACTCATGTAAAGGCAAATGCTGGGAGACGTGAATCATTAGAAGCTGGCAATGTACCAGTTGTTACATTAATGTGGTTACCATTATCTTCAACATTGGGGCCACTGAGTTTGCTGTTTCTTCTGCTCCCTACACTTTTCTTATGCCCAGTTCTTCCCTCCTCTTTGTTGCTTTACTTTATCCTACCATTTCTCAGCTTTTCTGCATCATAACTGGAATTTCTTAGGCAGCCACAGATTGAGGATTCCTTTTTGTTCAGAATAGTGAACTGACCAATCACATTATGTCAACTCTATTTTTCAGGTCATCAGTCTTTGCAACTAAAATTTTTGTGAACAGAGGTTACTTTGTTTTGGTTGCTTGTTTTGTTTTGTTTTATGTTTATATCTGGATTCAAAGCTCAGTGAGAAGGAAAATAAGACATTACTACATCAAAGAGCACCTTACATGAATATACTTACATGCTTTCTCCTTCTAAATAATATCTAGAATCTGCGATTCCCCTCTTTAGTTTTACCTGCAAAAAGGCAAGATGTCCAGTTCAATGGCTGAGTCAACAAATCTATGTTTATCGTATTTTGCATGCTTTAATTTCTTTAGCAATCATTCATGGGACAGGGAAGGATGAGAGGTCTGCAGGGATCAGATAATTCCTGGCATTACAATTTCAGTTCACATCAGGTTGCTTCTTACACATGGCTAAGATGAGATCAGATTAAATTTCCTGTGAATCATACAACCCGTCTGATCACTGTTTTCTGCTATCAGAAGAGATTCAAGAGTACCAAGAATTAGCCAAGGCCAGGAGAACTGGGCATACAGATACTATTAATAACAGAAGTAGAGGTGAAAGAAATGTAAAAAAAAAAAGATTCACAAACATCCTTGGTGGAAGAAATCTTTAAAGAGAGGGAACATGGGTTTCCAACTGGAATACTAAGGAATTAAAACAAAAGTTAAAATAAAAGTTGACATGCAAATTACCCTTCAAGAATTTCTAAATACATTCGCAATGTTTATCATTCTTTTTTTTTTTTTTTTAATTCTGTTCCCTAAAGCCAGGCATTGGATCCTTGATTGTTGGGTTAAACCTCCACCAGACATTTAGGTTCAAAAATAAAAAGAAATTAATTTCAATTTGACTATTTATATATCTAAATTGCTCAAGTGAAAAAGGCAGCTGAGATAAAATGTCCTTTTTTGTTATTTTAGACTAATTCATTGGCTCTGCTCTTATTTATGCTGCATAGTCAAAAACATCAAAAGTTGAACATGTGTGTACAGGTAACTTCATTTCAACCCTATTGAAGGTTAGTTTATCTGTCCACTTGACTGGGTCACAGGATGCCCAGACACCTGGATAAACATAATTTCTAGATGTGTCTATGAGGGTGTTTCCAGAAAAGATTAGCATTTGAATCAGGAGACAGAGTAGAGCAGATGGCTTTCCCCAGTGTGGGTGGGCGTCCTCCCATCCATTGAGAGCTTGGATGGATGGATACCACAAAGGCAAAGGAAGGCTGAATTCACTCTGCCTGACTACTGGAGCTGAGATCAATTTTCTCCTGCCCTCAGCTCACTAGCTCTCAGGCCTTCAAACCACACCACCAGCTATCTTGGGTCCCCAACTTTCCAGAGGCAGATTCTGGGACTTCTCAGCCTCTCTAATTGTGTCAGCTAATGCCTTATTAGACCTCTCTCTCATATATATATATATATATATATATATATATATATTAGACCTCTCTCTCATGTATATATATGTATATACACATACACACACACACACACACACACACATATATATATATATAGTATGAGTCATATATATATTTATACACACATGCACACACAAATTTCCCAATTTCCCATCAGGCAGGAGATATATGTATAACATTTCCTATTGGTTCTATTTTTTTCTGGAAAACTCTGACTAATACAACTCCCCTAGTGATTTATATAAAATCCAATTAAGTTTCCATGAAAATTTTTGAGACTATGACTAGATTCTGATGGTGTCAGAAAGAAAAATTAGATAAGACTATAAAAGAAAATTCCAAATGAAAAAAAAATATGAATAATGAGATAGGACTGGCCAAACCAGATATTTAAATATATTATAAAGCTATGATAACTAAAACAAGGCACTACTGAAAGATGAAAAAAAAAATACAGATACAGGAAACAGGATCATTCAGAAATTGATTTTGTTCCATATGAAAATTTGCTATAAGATAAAAGTGGCATCGCCAGAAAGGAAGAATTAGTCATTAACTTGTGCAGGAATAAATGGGTAGGAATTTAAGAGAAAGAAAATTAATTTAGACACATCTCTCAAAGTGTATAACAAAATGAATCCCAGATCCATTAAAAATTTAAATATTGTTTAAAACATTCTTTGCAAATGGAAACTTGAACAAGATATTAGATCTGTGAACTAAAAACCAAGGATGATTTCCTAAGCTTAAAATCATCTAAAGAAATCATAAAGCAAAAAACTACTCAGATTACACAAAATTAAAAACTTTTTTTTTTAAAATAGCATAAGCAACGTTTCTTTTTTTAAAAAAAAATGGAACAGCTGATTGGGAAAATTACATTCAAAAAATATGGCAAACATTATATTTATAAAATGCATTATTTTATCACTATACCAAGACAGAACATTTTTACATTTATTACTTGTTGATGAATCTTTTTCTGTCCACAACCTTTGTTCAGGTCAAAAGAAAAAAGGTAAAGAGTATCTTTATAAAATGCATTATTTTATCGCTATACTGACACAGAACATTTTTACATTTATTATTTGTTGATGAATTTCTTTCTCCTTTATGACCTTTACTCAGGTCAGAACAACTAATCTTCCTAAACCCCATTTCTATCATGACATTTTCTTGTTACAGGGGCATAGCAATCCTCTTTTCCTTACCATTGTTTCTCTAATCTCAATCATTTCAGTACAAGTTTCATTACACCACCACATACTACTTATGCCAAATATTTATTTTTTTAAAAAAAAATCAATCATTTTACTTAAATAAATTTACCTTTGTTCTAGCCAATGACTCCTATGATATCAGAAATTTTATATAAATAAAACTAAAAAAAAATCATAAAAATTTTAAAACATCAAGCTGCCACTGAAAATTCACCTTTGCTGACTGTGATGGTTAATTTTATGTGTCAATTTGGCTAGGCTATGGTGCCCAATTGTTTGGTCAGATACCAGTCCTGATGCATTCTAAGCCAAGCATTCTAAGCTCCATCCCTGTCTAGAATATTACAAGGAGGACCTTATGGATCCGGAATGAGGGTTTCCTTGTAAACGCAAACCTCCCTCAGGTGGCAGTGAGAAACTGCAGTGATACCAAACACACCAGGGTTTGTGCAGATTGTGCTTCACCCCTGGGCTTCCAAGTCAGGGGCAGCCCCACTCATGTGCTGTGCTGCTCAGGTCCCAGGCAGAGCTGGGACAAGGATGCAATAATGATATGGTGAGAAGATATGGTAGTAATAATGCTGAGTTTTGGTAGAAGTCTAAACCTAGGAAAGCTAGAAGTGTAGACCTAGGAAGTCTTTCACTTTATTTCCTAATTTCCAAAGATACTTCTAATTTTTCCACTGTCAGCCGCTGATATAGTTCTCGAATGTTCTCTAGCTCAGGAAAACCAAAGCCATCTTAGGAACAGAGTGGGAGCATCATGCCTGCTCTGCTCTGGGCCTGAGCACAGTGGTGGAGTGGTGCCTGGGTTGTGGGCAGATGAGGAAGAGGGTGGCCAGGTTGGATACTGGCCACACCTGCGAGGGAAATGACGGGAGAGGGGAAGGGCTGGAGGAAGGGCACAGAAAGGGAAGGGTTGGGGCCTAAAGACTGTTTCCCGGGACCAGAAACCACCAAGCGTCCTGCATCTACACCCCAGGTGGCCAAAAGCGAGTGCCTGACCCCACCCTAGCAGGCCCGTGGCACGCATGCATGTTCCGTGGAGTCACAGGTGCAAATGATAAATGGAGGCTCCTGCCTGGCGTGCAAAGAAGGCGTATTTATCCTCTGGGCTGTTCTCATCCGCTTATTCTGTCCATATTTGAGTGAGACCCAGTGCTGTGAGCAGTGCAAGGTAAGACAAAACCAGGTCCATGCATGTTTATGTCTTTCCATAAGGTCAAGACTTTTATTGATGCTATTTCAACCAAAAAAGCCACGAGCTACGTGTAGTTCCCAAGGAGACGGTTCTCAGTATTCTCAGGCTCTCCTAGCCAGAGCCATGGGCACACAGGCTCAAACCAATCCACAGGTGAGTCGGTAACTGCAAACCATACCTAGTATGCTTACTATATAAATGTTATTGGTAAAATTCCTGCATCAAATAAAGTGATATTTAACATCAAGACAAAAGGGGATAGGAAAAAGGGGTTAAAGAACCAGTCCAAAAAGAGTCATGTGGACAAGAAGAGTGCTCTGAGCCAATCCAGTTGGTCGTCAGTGTCTTGCAAGGCAGTGTCCTTGATTTGGGGAGAGCCTTCTGAGACAAATGCTGGGTGCTTATCATGAGTGACAGAGCCTGGTCTCTATGGAGATGACTGGGCCAAGCTGGTGAAGTCCTGTTCTTTGTATGGTCCTCTAGTCCGATGGTGAAGACTGACAGTGAAGGGTTATGCCTTTATCTGGTTGGGTGTAGTCTGTGAACGTCTGGGCCCTGTTGGCATCATGCCATTTGAAATGGAGTGTTTTTCTAAGATGGATTCAGTTATGTCAAGAGTCCTCTATACACTCAGCTTAGAAAAGGGCCATTCCTCGAGCGTTTGAGGCATTCATTGCAGATTCAAGGCTGTTTCTGGGTTTTGATTCTGGAGCAGATACAGATGTGGGGAGTGCAATTGTTAAAGGAGAGCTGAGTATTGGCACCTGTCAATGACCACAGGCATGGGGCCTTCCTGGCCAAGATGCCCCAGGTGAAAAGGAAAAGCTTACAGTTATATATACATTCTCGTTAATGTTTAATGGTTAATTTTTCCTATAACGTGAAAGTAGTTGTGAAAATATTAAAAAATAAAGAGGAAATGTGTTAAAACATTATTTTAAGATTCAATATTTTATTTATGTCAAAATCAGAATGTATCATAATTTTACTTCCCTGGCTTTAAAGGAAGCCAAATTATCCATAATATATTTAAGATATAATTCTAAGGTTATTTTGTTTTGAAACGAAAATATTGCCATGTTTGACATTTTTTTCATTACCCAGTGACAATCAAATATTTTAATGAATTTCAGCTCAGGGAATCATCTTTTGTAGTATTACAATGTAACAAGTACTGTTTAAAAAGTACTAATAAATTCGGCCCACTACTATATTTTTTATAACCATCTACTAAGAAAATATCACAAGTCAGTTTTAGGAGATCTAAACACAGATGATTTTTAAAATACCATTGCATACTGCTTAAAACCATTTAAGATGAACTACATTAAAACAAATTATTAGACTAGTAAAGAGATAAGATAGTTGCTGCCTTTTATAAATTAGATGCATCCATTGCAAATAAATTTTCTCCTAAAAATGCAAAATCCAAAGGCACTTATTTTAATTTTGTATGTCTCCATCTCAAAGGTAAAGTTAGGATATCTGTAATTTTATTTTTGGTTATAAGCCTTTTTCCCATAAAAATTAGTATTTTTTCCCATAGATTAATCTTTGTCCATTTCTTTACTTTTTGTTTATCTTCTAAGTTGCAAAGTACATCCCGCATCTTGTTGAAGCTTTACATTCCTCTAACATATATCAAAGTTACTTTCTCACATTGGTTGTAAGCAAGGGGAGAGATATTTTAACAAGCATCCATCTTTATACATTGTCAGGATTGTTCAATCAAGAGCTTTCTTAACAGTTTCCACTTGGTTCTCAATATCCTCACATCCCGATAATGGCATAGAAGTTTGCAATCGATCTGCACGAAGACACACTAAAGAGGGCGACTGACTAATCACAGGTAGAGTGCGTCTCCTCCACGCAGAGGAACCAGGATAGTAAGCAAATTCTCAAAGAACATGAAAGGATGTTTTATATACATATTATGAAGTGAGGGGATGTTCTTGCTGATGATAATTACCAGAGCAGAACTCCAGCTAGCATTTTAGTAAGGTATCTGAGTCAACTGAAATGCCTTCACTCTGTCACTTATGATGCCCTATGAGGACCCTGGACACTGCAGTGGCACGATCATGTGTGTAGTCTTGCTGCTTTCCTGTGCAAGAGGTTTTAGGGCTGGATTTGCATGATGAAGGTCTCTGAGCCCTCCAACACGAGTTGAGTCTTTGAACTCTTCCACCCTATCGTGAAATAGATTCCAAAGTAGCCCGGCCACATATCCAAAGATGTGGAGGATAGAGCTAGGACTGAGGCACAGGTGCTGCCTGGATCTCACATGTGGAGGAGCTGAAATAATTGAAGGCAGAAGGTGGGGGGGGGGCACTAAAGGACTTAAATGTAGTTGTCGAAGAACAAATGCTAACTAACCCCACCAGGAATTATTAAATCAGAAATTCTAGACTGGTGTCCTTGGTTGTAGATACAAATACGTCCATATGACATGAGTCAGGATTTGGCATCAGGGAAGGAATTAGATAAGCCTCTGAACACCAGGTCTAATTAAAGGATAAAACCCTGCACTTTTCATTTTGTTGTCTGTAAAATGGGGATATTGATATTTTCTTTATGAGTTCAGTAGCCAAAGCCTTGTCACTTAGACCCATAGGGAAAGAGGTGGCTTCTCCCGTCTGTCTTGGATCATTCCGTATGCGAGTGTGGGTCGGGATGTGGGATTCACTACCAGGTTCGTGACTGGTGTGTTTAGGAATGGTGGAAGACAAGACTGGAGTATCATGGCTTCTTTCTCTTCCCTCAGCTTTGTCTGCTTCACTATCAGAGTGAGCTTTTATTAAAGACTGAAGAAGATGGGAGAAGCTGGGTTGGCAACAGTGCAACCACAGGTGAGTACGAACTTGCTATGATTCCTGAATTGATGCTTCTTTTTCCAGCAGATGGTCAGGTTTCTCCTCTGGGCCTGGATCTCCTAAGTGCAGCTAGCCAATATTAGTGTCAGTTCTGTTTCTCCAGGATTCTGGGAGGCATAAGCAGGTCCAGGACTGATAAATAATCTCCCTGCTACGTTTACACTAATTTATTCCATTCTCCACCCTTGAAGTTCTTGCAGAGAAGAGAGATGAATCGTTGTTTTTTGTTTGTTTGTTTCTTGTTTGTTTTTATCCAACTCATGGCCTTGGTGAGGAAATAACTCACTCATTAGCCATGTTAGTGGCTGCAATGGTTTTGGCAGTGTGATTAATACAGGTGGTAGAGATGAGTAAGAGCAGAAGGCTGTGTTCCAATGGGGAAAAGGGGGTGCAGCTGTTTCATCAGGTTGAGTTCAATCCATGCTATGCAACAGGAGCTAGGGTGGAGTGCTGTGCAGAACTGAAGTGTGGGTCTAAGAGGATTGAACCAGGGAGAGCAATGAGAAATTATTTATTTTCACCAATTTTAAACTTATTAAAGTTTTATAACATGTACTTTCCAAAAAAGGAGAACTCAAATTCTCCTTACCACCCTGTTCTCAAATGCAGTTTGTCTCTTTGAAATGAACTTTTGGTCAGATTTGGAAACTGAACACAGTGCATGGAGAACATTTGCCTAATTTTGGTGGAAGAGAAGGAGTTTATTAGATAGAATAAAATTTGGGGTCCTATAGCAATATTTGGGGGGATGGGAGTGACCATATACAATTGAGAGGCTTTTATTATCATGCAGCAGATAGATACAATTAGGATACAAGAAAGACTATGATAACTGTTTCTTGTAGGTACCAGAAAAGTGAGAATGGGAAGCTTCATTGTAGGATGGATTAAGCTAGGACCATCCTTCTATATAGAACCATCACAGACCCTTGGCTTGTGCTTTTGAATCATCGATCCTTTCACCTTCTGATGAACATATGATACAGGTAGAGATGAGGGAGAGACTACACCTCTAACTCGTGTTCTGTATTAAGCTTGCTTAATTCTTCAGAATGTCTGCTAGACATTGCGCCATGATTCCCTACCATTTTAATAATAATATACTTGTTTGTATTTCTTGAATGTAAAAAGGAAACACTTTGCAAATTAGTTTATAGGCTCTTACAGCTTATAATATTTCTAACAGGTTGTTA